ATATCAGCAATATCAAGAATTAAATAAAGCTCTACATTAAAGTAGCTCAAAAATGACATGCAATATTTTTATCATGTAGATCTGATGACAAGGAACACAACAAAATTTATTTCAACAAATTTGGAGCCATGTAACTCGAGATCTACATTTTACAAGCTTTTTAATCCATTTTTGAAATCATTTTAGAAATCCTTTTAAAAAAACCAGCCGAAGAAAACGCTGGGTGCACCCGGATTTGAACACGCATGTACACACACAGAGATTGACAACGGGCCTAGGGGTCAGCGGGACCCCACCCATCAGCCCCTGAGGCAGAGGAGGCCGCGCTGTCCGGCGAGAGCTTGCCGTCGGCGAGGTGACCGGCGACGAGGTCACCACCAACGTGACCACCTTGCCAAGGCGGACACGGTAGTGCAAGTGGCAGGGCTGGAGGAGCTCGAGAGTGAGTGGCCAGCGGCCATGGCAGCATGGTGGTGCGGCTCACGTCGGCCGGCCATCTCCCACGAGAGGGGCACGAGAGTGGCGTGGGAGCTTCACCGAGCTCGGCGCGCTGTGCTCGTGCACGTGAAACTATAGTGAGAGGGAGTACGGAGGGCGAGGTCCACGGAGCGGAGTGCTCCGTGAGCTCGGCCACGACTCAAGTGAGGATTCCCGGAAGGGGAGCTTCCCATGGCTTACAAGAGGCGAGCACGAGGCGCGCGAGGAGGAGGCGGCGGTGTTCAGGCGAGATGGAGCGAGCTCAGTGAATCAAGCGCTCTGAACGGCTTACGCCGCAAGAATGGCGCTATGTGGCGAGCCAAGCCGCTACCGCTTTGCTATGCGTTAGGGAGAGAGCGAATCGGGCGAGAATGAGGAGGAGCGCAGTGGGTCGGCAGTGAAGGCGAAGGCGTGGCGTGGCGAGCCGGCCCACTGGGTGCCACCAGACACCGTCACGCCGGCGTTCATGCGACCACGCTGGGCGGTGGCTCGACGCCGCCATGACGCGGCCTTGTGTGTGGCGATCGGGCGAGGCGCGGGGCAGGCCGGGCTGGCTTGCGGGGCTGGGCCGGAAAGGAGGTGGCGGCCCAATAAGGTAAAAACAGGATTTTACAAATTATTTTAAATTCCTTTTTCATTCAAACGAAATTTTGAACTAATTCAGAGCAGTTTCAAACTTTGGCCCAAAAATAAAAGTTGCTCAAAATTTTATTCTCTACAACTTTGCTTTTATAACCAAAGTCAAATTCCAAATATATTTTGAACTACAGATTTAAAGTCAAATAAAATTCCAAAACCCTAGTTTTGAAGAATTAGTTTAAAAGCAAAATTTGGCAAGAATTTAAATATAAACTTGGGTCCAAATTACATCCTGATTGTTTATAAGCTATCTTAGTGATCAACCCAAGAAATCATGGCATCCAAACATGAGCATGACATTCCCACTAGTTTAAACATGATGAATTTCAATCAATTTAAACATCACATGAAATGATACGTCATTTCTTTCGAAATGAAATGCATAAATGATGCTTATGCATAATGAAATGATGATTATGCTCATAAGATGGAATGTTAATGCATGCTTAACACCGAGGTGTTACACCGCTCTCGTCGCTCCACTTCTTCCGCTCCCTACCCAACGGCGCCGACCTCCTCGCGCACCCGCAAAGACCTCCTCACCGCTACGCTCCCCTCCTCCACTCCTTCAGCTCTCCAGGAGACCGCCGGCCCCAACGCCAACTGGCCAAGCGCGCGCGATTCATCGCAGAGCTGCATACAGCGCCTGCAGGGGCCGCCATCTGAGGCACCTCGCGGCCGGCGTCGTCATCGGCCTCGTTGATCCGCAGCCTCGCGGCGTTCGGACTCTCAGGAGGCTGCTGTGGGTGTGGCGAGCCATCGCGCCTCGCCAACATTGAGCCGTCCAGCTCACCTACAATCGCTGCTTTGGGACGGCCTTGTCAACGCCGGCCTCCTTGACACCGCCATCAACGTGTTCGACGCAATGTCCACGGAAGATCGAGTGTGTCTCGGCGTGGTTTCCTACAACATTCTCATCAAGGGGTACCGCCGCAGGGAGGACGCGAGATGCGATGGCACGGCTTGCGGATATGAGGGAACAGGCGAGAGCTCGCTTGCCGGACAAGGTGACATACCTCACTCTCATGCGGCGCCATTACAACGAGGGCGCGTTTCCACATTGCATAGCACTTTGTTCCAAGAGATGGAAGAGAGGGTAATGGGGAAGAGATACCTCAACATGCTTATGTCTTTGGTGATCGACGCCCTCGAAGGACGGGGAAACCATTTGAGGCGCCGGCGTGTTTAAGAGGATGTTGAAGCGAGGTTGCCCGGCCAATGCGAGCTTGAAGATGGCGCAAGAGTCGATCCACGTCCCCACCGTGACAACGACGATGCCCAACTTCGCCTCCTGCTTTGCTCCGGTTCTGGGCGACTGGCCTTGAGTAGGAGGGCGTCGTGGAGCACGCGACTCCGCTTCCGTGACGACGGCGATGGCGGCGTTGGCGGCTCGAGCTGCCGTTGAAGATGGCGTTGAGGAACTGCGAGCAGCGCCGAGGGGACGTCGGCCTCCTTGGCGCCTTCTTCTCTCTGCTCGGGCTCGGACTTGGCGGCGGCGGCGACGCTTCGAGACGAGAGCCGTCGCCATAGCCGGAGCACTCGGAGAGTCGGAGAAGCTTCGACATGGTGGCACCGTCGGCCTGGAGCCGCCACCGCCACCTTCTGCCGCCACGATAGTTCCTCGCCATGGGATGGGGCGCGCCCGGCAGCGCCTTGAGCTCAAGGCCGCCACCTCCACCATGCGGATGCGCCCTCGTCCAAGCGCCGCCGTTTTTTTGTCTGGTGTCCACATGTCGCTTAAGGGGGAGAAGGGTGGTGGGGCCCACATGTCAGTTAACGGTTCACGGATGGCAAACCCGACGGAGTGTCGTATAAGGAACGAAAGTTGAACTCGGTGTCAAATAGGGAACGAAAATTTTTTGAGGGCCAAGAAAGGAACAGGTCATTTGTCTGGTATCAAATAAGGAATTCTCTCCATAACATAACCCCACCCGCATGATAGATCCTCCTGGCTAGAAGCCCCATCACAATTGATCTTGATAAAATCGGCCGGTGGCTTAGACCATGCATGTTTCCTTTGGCTTTGGACAGGTTCAGCTTGTACATTCTTCAGAGGCGCCCATTCCTCGGTGTAGCAATTTACAAATTGGGCAATCTGTCCCAGCCCCCTTGGTGCATCCCCTTCGCGAATTCTGCACCGTTCCATCCACCAAATATAATCATTCTGTTTTTCAGCACTACTTCGGCAGTATTTTTCAGCGAAGGAACAGTGTTTTCTCTCACAACAAATCAGCATCAGCAGCAGCATCAATCAAATTTCAGCGAAACGAGCAGGGCCATACATGAGAGTAATCACCCTTCGCTGCACATTTTCCTTCAGTTTCAGAATTTCCCAAACCAGCTCCTTGGCCGAAATATCTTGTGCCAGCCGATCCCTCATGTTGAGATTTTAAGCTTAGCATTGATCCCAATAATAAGCTCACGTCAATAATATGTGGGAATTTAATAATATGTGGGAATTTGACGTGACAAAGCAGAAAGTAACATGTAGGCCCATTTCGTACCTGTCAAGCGAGGAAGAAACTGACATCTCGGGCCATTTTGCTGTGATTCGAGCCTAACTCATCTGGGAGTGGGACCCATAAGTGTGTTTGGTTCGCTTCCTCGCTAAGCCTTTCCTCGCTAAGCCTGGCTAGCAAAACTAAGATAGACTAGTTGTGTTCAGCTTTAGCCAATGTAAGAAGTACATGTTTGATTGTGTGTACTGGCTAAGAATCGGTATGTTTGTTGCTCGATTTAGTTCGCATAGAATCATCCCTTCTTTTAGCTGGTAACTTTACCCCTTTGAATACTGTAGTCGAACAGGTGGTGGGTATGGTGGACAGCCTCTGACCTCCCGATACCTTCCCCTTCTTCCTGTGCTGCTGCAGCAGGACAGCATGGCATTCGCCTTACGGGGGCGAGAAGCTTCCGCGAGATCCGGCTGTGATGTCCTCGCGGCCGTCAACGTCGTCCTCGCGGCGGAGCAGCTCGCCGTTCTCTGCGGGGCACCGCCGCCCGCCCACTGCGTCCTCCTCCTCTTCGAGCTCGTGCTTCAGCTCTGGTCGCCTCATTCCGCGCTCATCCCCGTCCTCCGTCAGCTCCAGCTTCTATGGCGGCGCGGTCGGGGGTAGCACGAGGTCCACCACCCCCGGCTCTCGCACCAGTGCCGTTCCTAAGCACTCAGGTGGGGATCTCGGAAGGAATGCACGGATCCAGCGATAGCATCTCCGTCACCATCCGCTTCCCACCGCTCAGGCCACCACGAACGGAGATGGCGGGCGGGGCTCGCCGGTGGGGTGGAGGAGGAGGAGGCTCGCAAGGCTCGCCGGATCCGCGGGATGGAGGAGGAGGAGGAGGAGAATGCTCGCGCAGCCAGTGGGATGGAGGAGGAGGGTAAGCAGGCTCGCCGGTCGGCGGGGTGGAGGAGCAGGCTCGCTGGCCGGCAAGCGGCGTGGAGGTCGAGCGCAGAGGAGGTGGGGCGGCGCGGAGGGGCGTGCGAGGGCAGGGTGACGAAACACGACGGGAGGTGAGCGGAGTCGGGTGTCGAGCGAGTGGCTACGATAGAAGGAGGAGATCGGTCGTTTCCAGGAAGCCACCTTTTTCGTACAAAATGGGCTTGTTCAAACCTTGCTATCAGGCCTTACAGGAACCAAACAGACTCAAGTTACATCATGAAGCCTGGCTAGGGGCTAAGCACACACTCGTATTGATCACTTCGCTTAGGTTCACTGGGCGACGTTCGAGTCCACTCGGTCCTCCCTGGCCCCTGTGCCCAGCCAGCCTCCCATCCCCATTCCCCTAAAAAAAAACCCCTCCCATCCCCAAATCGCCCGCTCCCATTCCCAAACCCTAGCCGCCGCCGGCGACCATGCGCGGCGCCGCCACCGGATCCGGCGGTTCTAATGGACGAGCTCGTGGAAGAGTTCCACCTCCGCTTCCCACCGGAGGACCCCGCGGTCCTCGCTCGCGCCGCCCTCGTCAGCAGGCAGTGGTACCGCGTCGTCACCGGCCCCTCCTGCCGTAGATTCCGTGAGTTCCACCGCTCGACACCATTGCTGGGCTACATACTCAATCTCGCCGACTCCATCCGCTTCGTTCCTATGTCATCATTTCGCCCGCCCAACACTCACCGCCGTGGTGTGCGAGCGGTCAGCTCAAGCCATGGCCGCGTCTTCCTCCATCGTTCCGCCGGGGAGAATCTGTATGCCCTTCGCTCCACCGGGAAGGATCTGGATGTCCTCCTCTCCGTGTGGGATCCCATCTCAGACGAGCAGCAGGACCTGCCCGTGGTGCCAGTGCGGCCGTCCCTATGCCTCAGCATGTCTAACCGGGACGCAGTCCTCATATGCGCCAATGGCGACGGCTGCAACCATCTCCACTGCCATTTCAAGGTAGTCTTCGTGGGAAAACGTCTAGGGACGTTCTCTTGTTTCTACTCATCCGAGGCTGATAGCTGGAGTGATCCCGTCTTTGCTTCTGAGGGGATCATCGGCGCTTTTATCCCGGGGAACTGTGTCCTTATTGAGAGTACCCTCTACGGCAAGTGTGCAGCAAGCTATGATATCTTCAAGTACGACATGCTGACAAATCAAATGTGTAATATTCGCATAATACTAGGACCTGGTGTCTGACTGGACGACTGTATGCTTACTGCTACGGAGGATGGTAGGCTAGGAGTTGCCAAGGCAAGCAATTCAACACTCGTCGTCGGGACTCTGGGTAAGGGAGCATGGAAGATGGGAAGAAAGCAGAACCATTGACCTTCAGGCGCTACTCCCACTTGATGCCCTGCCGGATCCGCTACTCCCATATGAAGTCAGACCTTGGTTGATTGGCTTTGCAGAGACTGGAGCTGGCGTCATTTTCTTATGGACACGTGTTGGGTATTTCACTATCGATCTGAAGTCTGGGAGTTGCAAGAAAGTAGGGGAGGACTTAGTCTCGGCTCGCGTTGTTCCCTACGTCAGCTTCTGCACTCCAGGTATGCATTTGATCCCTTCCAAATTTGCCCGTTTGCACAAGTAGTTAGTTCAGCATGAAAATATGGTCAGTTGCAAATGGGCTCAACAACAGTATGTTATTTTTATTTATTATTTTTTTGCAGGGAAAAGAACAATATCTCTGTCAAAGTATGATATCTGAACCTCATGTAAACCAGATTACTCCTACCTATATGGTACCTACATAAAAGGTTTTACCTACATACATGAGCTTCTAAAGTTCAAATATTAGCCTCATGCCAATCTTTCATGATATATGTTCCTCAATCATCTCTTGTATGCTAATGTCACTTGATAACATCGCAGAAGTACAAATTGGATACATTCCTAGATTTGGACTAGTTTGAGTTCATCTTTATGATGTTGTGGATATGTGACCATTAACTGGATAATAAATCAGTGCTGTTTTGTTAGCCATCGGAGCCGACTTGATGGCTCCTGTGTGATTTATGTAGACCGAATGTTCATTGTTCCCATCAATTACTCATATTTTGTATTTGTGTTTCTTATGCAGCACCGGGAGCAGTCTCCACAAATGATAGACCAGAAACTGGTGTTGCCATTTCTACATATGAGGTGTCAGTAGCTGATATTGCGGTCTCTACAGACGAGGGACCTGGAGCTGGTGTTGCGGTCTCTGCAAATGAGGGGCCAGGAGCTGCTGGCATGTGTCAAATGCCTAAGAAGCTCAAATTACAAGTGCAAGGGCCTCTAAATCAAGAGGGAAATTAATACAACAGAATCATGGTTTTCAGTGCGGTATCTCTTAGACTATCTCCAACAACATCACCCAAAATACAAAACTTATTCCATGTTTGGGTAGTGCTACAGGCAAAGGGTTTAATACTCATTTTTGGTCTTCTCCAGCAACAGGACCCAAAAGAGAACCCTTTCTACAAATGAGTCTCAAGGAGAGAGGATACTCATATTTGGGTTGTGCTTCTGCTGTAATAAAAAATGAGTCTCGCATATAGGTATTCTGTTGGAGGCTGAGGCTGATACAGTACCATCCACGATCCATTTTGGGTTTGGGTCTCCATATGGGTCATCCATTGGAGATAGTCTTACTTGATTTTGCTGCTGTGCTGTGCTCCTAAATGTATTCTAGACCACTGGTACCATTAATAATTAGTAGTACTATTTATCTCTAAAGTCAGTAGCTTGCTACTTAGTTTGATGTTGTATTGGGCTCTTCCACAAGATGGTAGCTGAATCAGGATTGTACTCACTTTGTGCTTGGGAATTTGAGTTTGCAATCTAATTATCAGAACAATATTGACTTAGTATGAAAGTATGATGTGGAATTTAATACTGTGTATGATTGTGGCAAATTTTCCTCTTCTACTTTCACCATGTGATTGATTCGTTTAATATTCCTTGCAAATAGGTAGTAGGTTGCAAAATAGTAAGAACTGTATTTGTATGCCATGAGAGCAGGATCGGTGAACATTGAGCATGAGCTTTTAAGGCTTTTGAGGCCTTCGACTGATGACAGCATGGAGAAAAATAAGGGCAATACATCAGTTTTAGCTGCAGCACTAAAACAACGTAAGTCTACTGATGGCCTTCAGCCAAGATAAGTGTTGATGCTCGGTTTAGTTTCATAAATGTTCCAAATTCAGAGATTGCTCTAGAATAACTTTGGGAACTTTTTGTTGCCAAGTTTACTAGATTGAGGCTATCCTTTCTAACATCAGCAGGCTTTTCCATACTACAGAGGGTATGCTCTATATCTCTTCAATGTTCTGTTTAATTAGGACGTGGCAAAGGCCAAAAGTGTCAAACTTTCATCCCTCCATTTTTCTATTGAGGCAACTATGGTTGTGAACACATTGGGTGCCAACTGCCAACTATTGGAAAACTGGATCATTTGTGTCCAATGTGAATTCAAACAAAAGAAGCTTCTCGAAATTGTACATGCATCTCGCTAGGACTGAATATTTGGTGCCTTTTATGACGGATTTTGGGGATATTGTGACGAAATGGATCCGTCATATATCAACAGAATTCTTGTAGTGTAAACAAACGAAGAAGCTTGTTTTTGGTTCACCAACATTGGTAATGAACATGTAATAACTACCCTGAAACGAACTTGTACATCAGCTGAATTAGTAGAGGGACATTAAGTGATATATGGGGGCATGCATTGTGATCGAATCTTGACTAGAGGTATATGCCAGTGACAATTTGCAAATGTTTTCAACATATAGGCTATGTGCCTATGTCCAGCCAAGAATGCATACACTTGCTCTAACGAGCTGGCCTGCCTAAAGGCCCAGAAATACTAGATGGCCAAGCCCACAACCAGTAGCAATTGTTAGAAGAAAGTTCAATCCTTGCCCATGCAATATTATATTACTCTCTCCATAAAAAAAAATGCAATTTAGCATAGTAGTATCTTAAATTCGATCAATTATAAATAAAAAAATATCACTATTTATGATATCAATTAAATATCATTAGGTTAAGTATGAAATGTATTTTCATAATAAATCATTTTGAAGCCATAAATATAAATATTATTCACTAAAAATTAGCAGCACGCAACACGTAGTTGCGTTCTTTTATTCTTTTATGGATGGAGGAAGTATTAGTATTACAATACACCTCTCAAAGGTCAAAGCAAGCCATCTGACCTGCATGGACGAGAGCTCATTGCCGGCCCATCCGCGCCTCTCATTCCGTTTTTTGTTTTTGTATTTTCTATAGTGCATTAAAAAATACAAATATTGCCTCCAATCATCTACTACTCAGTGGGTGATCGGAAATTATCGCCCACCCAGTTGGCAATTTATGGATGTGGTCGACCTGTTGCCCTTTTGAGTGGATGAGGTTTAGAAGCAGCCCGATGAAAGGATTCCAAGTTGGATCTCTCATATTTGGTGGAGATATTTACCTAAAAATAATGCGTCTTCCTTCTATGGCTCATTTTTTTCGAACTTACCTGTAACGTCCGGAAACGAAATTCTCTTGTATGGCCTTCAGTCCGTTTCTGGTACTTAACGTTGTTAAGTCAAGGGTAATGCCCATTTTACCCCTGGCGAAAAAATAAAGTGCAGTGTTTAGTTTGACTTTTTTAAATTTGGAGTACCATTACGGGAGGAGTCAATTGGTGCCACGCAATATTTACTCCAAATCTAAAAAAAAGAGAAACTAAACTTTGTACTTTATTTTTTTGCCAAGGTAAAATAGTCATTTTATCCTTGACTTAACACCGTTAAGTGCTAGAAACAGACGGAAGGTCATACGTGTAAGAGAATTTCGTTTTTGGCTTTAGAGATAATTTCAAAAAAAAAAACAGGCCATGGAACAAAAACGCATTATTTTGAGGGTCTTACAGGTAAATATCCCTATTTGGTGACCTATTTGCTACTCCCTCCGTCCCAAAATATCTGTCGCTTTCGCTTTCCGAGAAACAACTTTGATAAAATATATGTTAAAAAATATTAATATTTATGGTACATAATTAGTATCATTGGAAAGATCTTTGAATCTAGTTTTTTAATAAATTTATTTGGAGATACAAATGTTGTACGTATTTTCTACAAATCGAATCAAACTGGTGGCACGAAAACCGAAAACGACAGATAATATGGGACAGAGGAGTATCTCTCATTCAAAGGTTTTTTTATATTTCTTCTTGACCAATGGGCAATGAATTATTTGCATTGCATAACAATATTTTTTTTTATAAAATATAACTTTTTCATATACGAACTCAGATTAAGATTTTTTTTGACAACTCAAACTAAGGTTAAAATTATCAACAAAGTATTATAGGCTTTCGACGAGATCTACAACTTTATAGTCTTTTTTTTATTAAGTCAATTTGGACACCCACATGAACGCTACAAAGTTTACATCTATTTTGAAATCAACAAACAGATTTCGGCATTTAAATGGCTTCAGATAAAAAAAATTTGATGAACTAGGGAGTTATAGATCTTATTCAGAGCAGCAATTTTGTATAAATTGTCCTCGTCTCAATTCTTATCAAAAGGTTACGATTTTTTAAAACTGTGCTGCGCATCACGACGTAGAACACACATACAGGATGCACCACAAATACAAAAGTCACCCGTGGCGAGAAATATTTATGGGAAAATTGGTTTAATAGCACCAAAAGAACGCGAGATCCAGAAAATACCATCGAAAGTTCATCGCACCGTAAAATACCATTGAAAGTGAGCATCCGTTTCGCAATCTAGCACTCTGTTACTTTCGCTGTTAACATCATTTGTTGGAGTTGGTCTGAGGCTCCAAGCTGCACTTCACCTCGGCTCCCCGCCGGCCGCTGCCTCTACTGGGGCCCCTCGCTCCACTCGCTCAACGCTGGTGGCTGCCATGTTTGTGGCCTCTCCGACGACCATGGCCCCAAGGCCTATGCGTGCAAGAAGAGCTGCCAGTGCGACATCATCTCTGGCTACGGCACGCTCTGCGGCACCGATGGCCAGAGATACTTACATTCAAAAAGTTGTGTTAAATGAAGGACAGAATAATTTGAATCTGCTGGTGCCATTGACACGTCAGCCTCACCGCAAGGAAGATGCCATCCTCGTATCCCATTCTTTTTATTTTATTTTATTTATTATGCTACCTATAGTGTGCTGTCGGAAAGAGAATCAAAATCTCCAACGGAAAGATCACCTCATAATTATACGAATCATCAGGGGCTTAAGTCAAAAGTTGGAGCCTTAGAGTCAACTTTTAACCTTCCCGACCGTTGGGATGGTCCTCAGCTGGGCTGATCTCGTGAGTCGTCATCATGCGCCTCCGCACTCTGTAAGTGGGTCCGGGTTCAGACCCGTCGGTACCCGATAAGAAATCCCTTCCAAAGGCCCCAAAATTCATCCGTGAGAAATGAGCAAACATACCTGGATTGAAAAATCAAACCCGCTCGAGCGACCCCACTCTGGTGTTTCAGGAAAAAAAATATTTTTTTTATTCCTACCGACCAAGTAATCCAATTACATAAGTGGCTTATATGAATGTGATTCCCTGATTCCTACCGACCAAGTACTACTCGACATTGCCTCTTGATTTCTGTCTTGTTATTTCGACAATCTCAATTCGTACTTCTCCATTCAACTTAATTAAATTTGTCTTGATTTTTTTAAAGAAAATAACTACAAAGTCCTCGTCATATGGAGCTTAACGACCATTTATTCATCACACTTTTCCTAGCTTTTAGTCGACTGAAATCTGAGGAGCTTTCAGGCGACGACGCCCATGACCGAGCTCCTGCGCACCCGCGCCCCCACACGCCCACTCCCCCACCAGAGTTGAAGGAGAAGGAGACGACTGCGTGGAAGAGGAGCTCGTCGGCGTTTGAGACGAGAAGTTCACCGCCGCTAGGGTTCCGACGAGGTAAGTTTTTTTCCAATTTCGACGGGTTTAGAAGGGATTTTGAGGGGAGGAAGGTCGGCCAGGCTGTGGGGACGCCGGTCGGGCGGTTTAGGGACCCTGGTGGCGATAGAGGCAGCTAGGACAGGTCGAGACGGGGGCGAGGATGGCTATGGTGGCGGCGGGAGGGGGAGGGGAAGAGGGAGGCCACCGCGGGTGTGGTAGGGTCTCGCCGGAGCTCCGCAGCCGCGGGGGCTTGCGGCGGAGCTCTACGAGACCCTATAGCGCCGCTGCAGGGCAGTAGAGGGTGGGTGGCGATTGGTGCGGACGCGAGGAGGAAGAAACCACACGGACGCAATGAGGAAGATGAATAGTGTGCGCGCGACCCCTGGCACACGATGATGATCCAACGGCTCTGCATCATCACCTAAGAGAAACCCATTTTTTCAGGTGCCTGTATTATAGTGATTCCCTTTATTCATAGCTCCAAACAATGTATACCGTGACAAAAAATGTTTTGTCGTGAGAATAGTAAGGGCATGAGAGTTCAATGATAATAAACAATATAGTAGTCATTTAATTTAAATAGATGCGGGATGCCGACGAAATTGAAGGCGCACCATAAAAAAGGAGGGGAAATAATGTAGTTAATAGTTTCTATGGTGTTGTTAGCCACCAATTTGATGTCGAAGTTCTGCCTTCCTCACCTTGGCCAGACTAATCAGGTTGCACCTAAGACCTAACTTTACATGCTATATGCATGTGTACCTTTCTTTAGTTTAATCCTACGGTGAAACCGACAACCTAGGAAAACATAAAACAAAAGGACATATGAATAGAAAGTTGTTACTATGACAATTAGGAGAAAAAATTGACATCTTTAATGATTTCATTTCACAAATATATTACTTACCGTTCTAGGAAAATATTTTTTCCATGAAAAACCCCATATGCAACATGGTGGTCCACTATACTATAGCATATTTAAAGGAAAAGTAGGCAAAAATCAAGGCGTGGTAAGACTTTCGACAGGCAATCTTCACTGTAATAAATACCAAAATGCCATAAAACCTCATAATTGCACACGTACTAATTATTAGTAAAAGAAAAAACACCACGTCCCTTCACCTAGAGGCTATAAATAAAACATATCTCACGCACCAAGGTTCCATCCTCTGGCGAGAAAGAAGCCCCCATGATAAGATAGCATTGTGAGAATACCATTTGCAATTGCATCCTAGCTGTCCCTAGTAGGATCTCGTGTAATTACTCAATTACACACAACTTCTGAATCCCAACTCTCCACGCATGTGCTTCGAGCGCGTGATTTGTCACGACATTATCGGAGTGGAAGGCATCAGGTTAGGGGTTTTAGGCTATGTGTTGATGGTGGAACCCGGATGGCAACCCACCTAAAAGATGTGATATTAGGTGGCAGTACCATATGGCTCGGTAATACTAATGACATTGGACAATGCAACGAGAGAAGAAGGAAGATCTCAGAAAGGGCGGGATATAGGCGCAAAGGATCTAGAAGTGGGCATTATGACCATCCTCGTCACGAGGCGGGGAGGAGATGGTTGCGGTATTACAGTCCCAAAAAAAGGTCAAGAAAGAAAGATGCCAAGTTACGTGGGCGAAGCAGCGCAAGCAAAACAATACCACCCGATTAAATACGTTTAGCAATGCTTGTATTATGTTTAATTAACTTCACTGTCACAAACACGCCAAAAGAAAAACCAGCGGCCACAACAGATCCATCCACCGATTATATTATCCTTAAACCAGACTATCAGAGGATCAAAGAAAATGCAAGAGTATGTGCACGTAACAATGGTACAGCATTTTACAGATCACCCCCACGATATCTCCAGATTCCAACTTCACCACCACCTCCCTTCCCCCGCAAGGCCGCAACGTCCACATCATCCCAACCGCTCTCTTTCTCTTGGAGCGCCATCGCCGTTCGAAACCAGCGCCGCCCGATCCCGAGAATACCCACTTCTCGCCCCCACCTCCAGCAGACGCGACTCGCGAGTCGCGAGTGCAGTCCACCACCCTCTCCGACTACACACACTCTCTCTCTCTCCTCTCCTCTCCACGGCCCGATCTCGTCCGCTTTGTCGGAACGGAACCGGCACTGGTGGCTCGGGTGTTCTTCGACTGTGCGCATCAGGAATGGCGATGGCGGCGGCGGTTTTGGAGGAGGCGATGCGACGGGGTGCCGGGAGCGTCGGGGACGATGACGTCGTCGCGCGCAGGGCAGAGGAGGCCGGTGAGTTCGGTTCTTGGGCTGTTGGGCACCTGATGCGTAGATCACGCTGAATCAGGGGGTGCGGCGGATTGTTTAGTGTCTGTTGTTAGGTGTTCTTGGTTTTAGCTGGGCGCTTTGGGAGGAAATGTTGGGCGATTGGGCACGGAGAGTCTCCTCTTTCTGTTGCAGTGGGTTTTGTTTGACACTGAAGTTTGATTCACTGAGGACGGGTTCGAATTTTCAAATTTGTCGGAACGATTTGGGTGGCATAATCCTCGTGGGATGCAGTGATTGAACACCTTGTCTGGTAGTTTACTGTTTCAATTTGAGGTCCTGTTGAGCTCAGTCGCGTAGACTTAATGTGATCCGTGCTTTGTGCATCTCACTTCACTGGAGAAAGGTTTTATGTCTTCTTCCCGTTTTGCTATATATTGGTTTGGAATTAAACGTCTATTTATGGCCACAATATAGTGCTGTACAAGTTGAGCAGCTGTGCAAATAATACTGCAGTGATTGTTTTTTATTTCCTTTTTTGGTGAAATACTGTTGTCATTATTGATGTGACACATTTTTAGAAACGCAATGCTACCATGACACTGTGCTAAGATAACATCAATCATACCAAATCAGGGTTAAGTAGAATGGAATTTACCAGCTCCTTTTAGTTGGATTACTAATCCACCAAGGAAATTTAAGTCTGGCCTTATTATTACCTGAAAATCCATAAGTTTCAAGGGCATCTCTGTCTCTGATTATTACAATATGTCAGAGGAAGGTGCACTTATTTCCCTTGTTGGTTAATGCAGCAATAAGAAGGCATGAAGCAGCCAGTTGGTTGCGATATATTGGTTCTTGGGCACCTGCCGCTCGGATCGCACTGAATCAGGGGGTGAATCGGATTGTTTAATGTCTGTTGTTGTAAGGTGTTCTTGGTTTTAGCTGGGCGCTTTCGGAAGAAAGGCTGGGCGATTGGGCACGAAGAGTTTCGTCTTTGTGTTGCAGTGGATCGCTTTGACACTGAAGTCTGATTCACTGATGACGTAGTTTACTGTTTCAATCTGAGCTCCTGTTGAGCTCAGTCGCGTAGACTTAATGTGGTCCATGTTTTCTGCATCCCACTGAAGAAAGGTTTTATGTTTTCTTATTTACCCTTTGCTATATATTGGTTTCGACTAAAATGTCCATTTATGGCCACAATACAGTGCTGTACAAGTGGAACAGCTGTGCAAATTATACTATAGTGATTATTTTTTGCCTTTTTTGGGAGAAATACTGCTGTGATTCTTGATGACACACATTCTTACAAACACAATGCTAGCATGAGAGTATGACACCATGGTAAGATAACATCAAGCATACAAAATCAGGGTTAAGTAGAATGGAATTTGACAGCTACTTTTAGTTGGATTACTACTCCACCAAGGAAATTTAATTCTGGCCTTATTATTACCTGAAAATCTATAAATTTCAAGTGCATCTCTGTCTGTGATTATTACAGTATGTAAGAGGAAGGTGCACTTATTTCCCCTCTTGGTTAATGCAGCAATAAGAAGGCATGAAGCAGCCAGTTGGTTGCGAAAAACGGTTGGGGTAGTGTGTGCAAAGGACCTGCCAGAAGAGCCCTCTGAGGAGGAATTCCAGCTTGGACTCAGAAATGGCATTGTCCTCTGCAACGCACTGAACAAGGTCCAGCCAGGCGCCATACCCAAGGTTACACTTCTCACCTTGAATTTTCTAGTTTAGTTTGCTAGCTGTCGCACATGCCAAATATTTGATGCCAATCTTTTGTCAATGTTGATAATACTTCTAGATTGTCGGAGTCCCGTCAGATGCCGCTGTCCCTGCAGATGGCTCAGCCTTGTGTGCCTATCAGTACTTTGAAAATCTGCGAAACTTCCTTGTTGTTATACAAGATTTTGGCCTCCCAACATTTGAGGTGTCTGATTTGGAGAAGGTAGCCCTGTCATCCTGATTCAAGAGAGTTGCATGTCACAATTCTTTTCTTGTAACTAATGGTTTACAATGCACGTGGAACAAATTATTCCTGTGCAAAGTTTACTTTTAGAAAAGTTAACGTTTTTTTATCTGCCAATTTGTATATAGGGTGGCAAAAGTGTTCGAATCGTGGACTGTATTCTTGCTGTGAAGTCATTCAGTGAAAGTAAGAAAACAGGGAGGCAAGCTGTATGTAAATATGGTGGCATTTCGAAGCCTTTGGCTTCCGGAAATTATTTCATACTTAAGAATTCTGATGCTTTTATGAATAAGAATGCGAGAATCCACTCAGAAGAGACTACCCAGAATGGTTTTCCAGGAGAGCAAAAGTTATCTCCTGATTGTTCTCCAGAATCCTATGAGATGGTAAGTGCTGCAATGTAGTAAAATTTCTTATTTCACACTCAGTCATGACTTTTGTCTTGTTTTATAGACTACTTCAGACTCCCTTAGCGTGGTTGTCCGCACAATTCTCTTAGATAAGAAACCAGAAGATATCCCATTGGTAAACATACTTTGCTTGAATAGGTTGTTAATCTCTCTTTAGTATGTTTGATGAACATAAAGACTTAAAATTGCATTGCTAATTTGCAGATTGTTGAATCACTACTAAGCAAAGTTATTCAGGAATACGAACATCGCTTTGCAAATCAGATCTTGGTATGTCTTGTTCGATTACTGACATGAAAAATGCTCTTTCTATTATTCAGAAATCTATATTGTTCGATTTTCTTGGGTTGCAAACTATAGAAAAACTAGCTACTAACAATAAAGACTATTAATGTGGGAAGAAAAAAAGCAGTTGAAAGCATATGAAATCTTAAATGAACTGAATCATTTTCCGTATGTGACATGCTACTGGAATCATACAACACTTCCACCTGTGATCATGTGAAAGCATATTGTTTTTATCCTCAATCTACAGAAACTGGATCGACATAGCCGACTATATCTTGTATTAAGTTATTTCGTCCATGGAAGAACAGATTTCATATACTAATATTTGTCACTGCTTGTTGAATAAAATGAAGATGGATGAAGAGAAGCAAAATATCTTGACTACAAAGGAGGAGGCCAATTTTGCAGTAAATGGTTGTAATGCAGCTCAAAAGTTCCAACTAAAGGAAGAAATAAATTTTGATCTACAGCACAAACAGATCAAGGTATGCCTTTTTTCCCCATCATGAACTCATGATTTCATCTTGATTAAGAATCATGCCAATCAACCTTTCTTTAACAATTTTTTGTTTCCTAAAGGAGTTGAGAGGTACTGTTTCTTCTATCAAGTCTGGCATGGAACAACTGAAATGGCACTACTCTGAGGAGTTCACTAAACTTGGTAAATTATAGTTGATCATTTTGTATTCACCCTCCAAAATTAGACCAATTGTTTGATAGCGTCTTCGTCACCATGTTGCAATAGGGAAGCATTTGTACACTCTATCCAATGCTGCTTCTGGATACCATAAAGTTCTTGAGGAAAATCGCAAGTTATACAACCAGATACAGGATCTTAAAGGTATAATTTTGTGCATTGAAGGAGCAGAAGGTACAGGATCAAAGTCTACATTATATATAAATGCTGGTTTCTTTTGTCCCCAGGAAATATTAGAGTTTATTGTCGAGTCAGGCCTTTCCTTCCTGGGCAAATAAGTTCCTTAAGCAGTGTTGCTGGAATGGAAGAAAGAACCATTACAATAATGACTCCTACAAAATATGGAAAAGATGGAAGCAAATCTTTCACTTTCAACAAAGTCTTTGGTCCAGCAGCCACTCAAGGTTCTAACTAGTTCATATAGTGCATTTCATCTAAAAAAATTCGGCATGACTTTATCAATGAATGTCATGCTTCTTTTTTGTTAATGCAGATGGGGTCTTTTCAGATATGCAACCATTGATACGTTCAGTTCTTGATGGTTTCAATGTCTGCATATTTGCGTATGGCCAAACAGGATCTGGGAAGACTTATACAATGGTAATAACCTGTGCTAACAAATATAGTACGCTTGGAGTAATCCTTTTTCCTCAAAAGTTTGATCATTGTATGGTTGTTTTGCAGAGTGGACCTAAAGTTTTAACAGAGGAAAGCCTAGGTGTCAACTATAGAGCATTAAATGACTTATTTAATCTCCAAGCACAGAGAAAGGGGACAATAGATTATGATATTTCTGTACAGATGATCGAGATATACAACGAACAAGTGAGAGATCTCCTTCAGGATACTGGAAACAGAAGATATCCTTTTGACTAGTACAAAATCTGGCTGTAGTGTTAACACTTCTTTGGTTCTGTTTGAGAAGTCCGTAAAAACTTCTTTGTTTTTCTCTTCTGATCTTGAGGGACATTTTGAATATCCTTGACATTGAGCTACATTAGAAATTAAAAATACATCACAGAAAGGACTTGCAGTTCCAGATGCAAGCATGGTTCCTGTCACATCTACGTCTGATGTTGTTGAACTGATGAATCAAGGCCAAAAGAATCGTGCAGTGGGTTCAACAGCCATAAATGACCGCAGTAGCCGTTCCCACAGGTTTGGCTTGGCATAATTCCTTCACATAGAGAAGTTCTTCACTTCATATTTTTACTTATTACTTTGGAATCCACTTGCAGTTGTTTGACTGTTCATGTGCAAGGAAGAGATTTGACATCTGGGACAGGTTTAAGAGGTTGCATGCATCTGGTGGATCTAGCAGGCAGTGAAAGGGTTGATAAGTCTGAGGTTGTTGGAGATAGACTAAAGGAGGCTCAGTACATAAACAAGTCACTTTCAGCACTGGGAGATGTGATTGCATCCCTTTCCCAAAAGAACACACATGTACCTTACCGAAACAGCAAGCTTACCCAGCTCTTGCAAGATTCACTAGGTAATGTAGAAAAGTTAGCATCCTTACTTATCACTTCGGTAGTAGTGGAACCTGTCATGAACATTTCGTTGTTATGTTCAGGAGGACAAGCAAAAACGTTTATGTTTGTTCACATAAGCCCAGAACTTGACGCTGTTGGTGAGACGATAAGCACATTGAAATTTGCTGAACGTGTTGCCTCTGTTGAGCTTTGTGCAGCAAAACCAAATAAAGAAGGCAGCGAGATTAGAGAGCTCAAAGAACAGGTGTCTACACACTCCTTATGGCTTATTTCTATTAAAAAAAGGCTACAGATGACACTGCCATTTTGATTTACAAGGAAGTAATGTTATTTTGGTCTTTTCAGATTGCTTTCCTCAAGGCTGCATTGGCTAAGAAGGAAGGAGAACCGGAGAACATTCTAAGCACACAGTCAAGCCCAAGCATATACAGAATTAGAAAAGGCAATGCAACACCTGCAGCTTCTAAAGACCGGCAGCCAATGGAAGAAGTTGGGAACCTAGAGGTAATTTTTTCCCAGTCTATTTCAGTTCTTTTTCTATTTTAAAAAAATAGGTTTACATGTGTTAGTTACTTAGTTATGATTCCAAATTTCAATAGGAAGAAAACTTGCTAAATATTTTGAAGAAATTAATATATCTGCATGCCCATAATTTGACAGTGGAAAATCAATTCTAACATAGAGCTATCTATGAAAACAAAGTCATCATTAAGTTTAAAACATTTCGGTACATGATCTGAACAGAAAGAAGTCTAAAAATATTGGAGATGATACCACCAGTTGCTTTTAATCTTCTTGACATGCTGAACTGTATTGTATATTTTATCAGAATTCTCTTTTGTGCTTGTAAAAGGTCCAGAATGTCTTCACTCCAGCTCAAAAGAGGTCAAAAATGCATTTGTCTGGCATCCTCACTGAGAGCAACTCGTCTAACTCAGTTCAGAATTGCAATGGTCCTCAGAAGGAAATAGGATTAGGGGGTTGGGTTGACAAGATGGCTCTTGGAGACAACCACTTTGAGAATTCTAATTCCATCCTAGAGTTGGAGCCTGACACAGCACAGCTTCCAACTTCTTTCTATCAAATATACAGTCCTGTTCAACAAAGCTGTAGGACTGAATCAGTACCATCGGTGGGTCTACACGGCTTTGATTCTGCTACTAGCTGTTCCAACCAAGAGATTGGGATGTCAACCATTGGACTAAAAGCTTCTCGTATTGCCAATAGAGGCGCCTCAACAATAAAAAAGCCTGAAGCTACATCAATGAGGTGAGCGTGAGTTCACATGCTATTTTACAGATGCATGTAATGATTCTGTGCAAATGATTAACTTGTCCTACTGCATTTAAATTATTTAGGAGTTCAAATCTAGCAAGCAAGTCTCCACTGTCACTGTCGCAGAAAAAACTGCAAACACCAACCAGGAACAGGAACCAGCTAACTTTGAGCAGCATAGGTGGAAGAAGAACACCAAATGGAAAAATTGGCATTGCAAAGTAATCAATTAATGTGAAGGCTGATTTGCTGTGACCATGCTCACCTGGGTCAAGGTGGCAGAAAGCCCAAAAGGAGTGCGTTTTTTAAACCTCCAGAAGGATCAAGATCAATGATGTAAACTGATGCACATTCTGATAGGTAAAACATTTTATTTATTACATTAAGGTTGGAAAGAGACACCAAAGAGGACACAAAGATGATAAATATGAAGGAAATTCGAATTGAGACTTCTGTACATTTTCCACACTTAGAAAGTAATGTTGTGTCATGTATCTATTAGCCATGACAGCATCAACTGAAAGTTGCTTGTAATAGACATGTGCCAAGTTTACAGCTTTCTCTGTCTCATGTATGTTACCCTTTAATCATCAATTACAGACTAATTATAACTTTATCTCTGCATCTAGTAGAGTCACCCTTTTTTAACAAAATAAACTGTGAAAGAGATGAAAAACTATAGGCTCTGTACATTGTCCTGAATTCATAGATAATAACAAAGAGACTTGAAATCTTCAGCATGCAAATACTCTAAACTGATAAAAGTAAAGTACTAGCTCCTTTATGTACAGATACCTAATTGTTCAACAACATCCATTCTACTTTAAGTTAAACAGATTTCTCTGGAGTGTCTATTTAACAATATTATAGAGTTCAATATCCAGATGGATCTTTGATCCTACATTGTCTCTTTTACAAAATCTATCGATGCCTCTTAAGATTGCTCATATTATCGGTACAAGCCTTGGCCTTGGTGGGTTGCAATGCGGACCCCTCCTTGAGGTCCTGGAGAGCCTCCCTACAGATGCTAACTTCAACGCAGCTCTGATCTTGACCCATTTGCGGGGTGAAAGTGGTGTAGATGCCCCTTCACTGTTAGAAATCTGGGAAATGAAGTTCTGTATGAGTTCATCGCATGAGTTTGAGTCGAAACTGTTTGTTCTTGATGGCTGGAATCCAGTGACAAATTGTTGTGACTGCATTGCGGTTTGACCATTGGATTGTTGTTCAGAATGGTTGCTAAAACTCTCACCTGCAGATGCCATCCAAAGATGTGAGCATCAATCTTGGCAAAATAGCTGTAGCGGAAAATTTCAATGTACTTACTGTTTCTCGGAAGCTGGAATGGAGATTGCATCAAAGACATGACCACATCTGTAGATGATAAACTATCGACTGGAAGACCCTGCAGGCACATAAGGAGTTAGATTTGGCTCAGTCAAATATATGCAGTGTTGACAGTGAATTCATCGGTTTCAAATTACATAAAAATGTCTTACCCTGTATGATTCTTCAGAGAGTGCAACACCCTGACCAACCAGAATGTTGTTTGGAATAACAGCAGGAGGACTAGCCTCTGGACCAAAAAATGTTCTCTCAGAGTTTGGTATCTGCAACTGTGCAAGTCTTGGTCTGGGTAACAAGGCTCCTTTGCTTGAATCATATGGTAGAACTTTGTTTGTTGTTTGTTCATGTCTTAATGGCATATAATTGGAAGTTTGCCCCTGAACAAACCTAGACATATCAACTGGCACCTGTTTGCAGATTGATGATAACAATATCTTAGATACATGGTATACATGTTATTACTATTATCCGCATCTAAAGCACTACTTACATTACTGGCTCCAAGGGATGTGTTGAAAGTCTCCCTTGAAGGCCTCGTTCCAAATCCTACACCAGTTGAGCTTTCCCCCATATCTGGAAAAAGTTGATAGCAATGATTACTTGACTAGATATGCAAAGTTATACTACAGTTGTGAATCAAATCTACAGAATTAGGCATTACCATAGTTGACTGTCTGCTGATTTGCATGAAGAGCACTAAACAAGGAAGTACCCTGTGCAGGGAAACTGCAGAGTACAGGGTAGTTGTTCACCATCTTGTAGTTAGGCTGCAAGCCATCTAAAGTCTGATAGGCCCCTTGCTTCAGGGCTTCCACTAAATTCTGTTTATGAAAAGCACCAAAATAATTAGAATAATAAAGAGGAATTCTCCTGGTTTGAAGCAGGTGAGGAGACCGTACCTTCTCTATTTCGTTAAGCTGGTCAATCGGCTTGTAACAATCACCAAACTTTGCCCCAACAAGCTGATATATCTCATCAAAGAAAAGACCGGCATCCTTGTCCTGAACTTGGTAAAGGTAAAGACTGTCGTCAACTCTGCAGGTCATGGCATGCTCTATGATGGACTTCCATGTTGACTGTGGCATCTTGTTGAAAATCTAGATGTAGAAAAGCCAAAGCTCTTGTATCAGTCAACCATCTTGAACATGTGTAGGAATATCAACTGGTATTTATTAACGGAAGAAATTTGTAGAGCCTTTACCTTTATAAGCTTCTGTTCATCCTTCATATAAGCCCGTAAGAACTCTTGCACGGAATTGATTCCATTATCGGACAAGGCCTGGTTGTAAGCACCAAATTTACCAATCTTTTTCAAACGCCACACTTCATCATCCATCATTGGAGGGTAGTGCTTTTCAAATCCTACAATAAAGGTCAGATGAATATGATGGTGTCAACTCTGACTCTTAGCTCCAAGCCCCAAACCAAGACTGCAGTTTCTGAAAAATAGTAAATCTGAATGTTTGGCAGAAAGGCATACCTTCTACCCCTGCGCTCCTTCACACGAAACGGCTTGGTGACTCCTTCAAGAACTCTCTCTCCAGAAGAATTGACAAGCCTCAACCCCAGCCTGAACATCTTGGTGCTGGTGAAGCTGGAGTTATCGGTGAAGGTTGCATTCTCAAGGACAGCCTCGCCTCCATTGAGCTTCAGTGCCAGATTCCCAGTGAGAAGCTGGGCGCTCTTCTCTCGACCGGATACGATGTGCTTCTTAAACTCCTCAGGGCTCCAAGATTCCTCATTTTTACCATTGAAGTTGCCGTGGAGGACTACAACTTCAACCCTAGCAGAAGAGAGAGGACCGTATCTGACAATGTTTGTGTGACTGTTTTCAAGCCTTTCAACTATTGCCACCTTCAGTGCTGTCCCGTCATCTGATTCTAGTTTTGTCAGTGTGTACACGGGTTTCAGACCGTTCAAGAACATGAGCTGATATCTCGGGTGCTGATTCCTGTCCACCAGTAATCTACAAATGGGATACAAGGAACAGCTGAATTGATCGCAGTAGTGACATATAAAATGTCTAAGAAACAAATCGAAATGTATTGGTGCACTTCAATATGCACTTAAATGGAACAATACACTTTCGTTGAGTGGAATTTTTTTGATTCATTCATATGAGGGGAAACTAAATATGTTACCTTGGAGGTGCTGCTGGTGCACTGAATTGTCTGAACATTGCTTTCTCTACCTCCTCTGAGACCTGAAATAAGCAAATGTCAGAAATCAGAACAGTGAAGAGTTATAGGAGCAGTAGCTGCTAACACAGAAACAAGAACTCCACTGAGCTCATTCCCCTGAATACAGCAGAGTATCAGCAAAAACTGGACTTTTGTTTGAGCTGAAACATTTGCACTAAAAACGGTCCCTTCAACAGATCTCATCAGACACTTTGCAATTTGTACCTAAAAATACTAAAAAGAGCTATTCGAAAATCAAACAAGAAATAATAGCGAATAAAACACCCGTAAATAGCAAAATCAACCAGATCATTGGAAAGTAAAAAGAAGGAGCTCAGTCTGACCAAGTCCTCACCACTTTCTGAAGCATTGACCCAAAGACCGGGAGGAACATGCCCATGAACTCGGCCTCCATGATCCGTCTGAATCCAAACAACCCCTCCGTCGCCTTCCTCCTCGTTCTCGTAACCTGCCTGCAACCAACCGTCCACGACGATTCCCTTCCGAATCAGCTCATAACCAAGCAAACAGCACAGAATGAATCGATCAAGAAGACCAAAACCGAACTCACAGCACAGACTGCCAGCGCCTGCGAGGCAGGGACAGCTCACCACCGGCGGCGCCGCCGGCAGCGTCGTCGGTCCCGGACCATTGGAGACGCCTGGTGGAGGAGGAAGGCGGGGCCATTGGGGAAGGCGGACGATGAACAAGAACAAAGCAACGGGAGGAGTCCAAGGGAGGGCGCTGATATAGAGGCCGGCCGGCCGGCGCCCAAGATGAGCGAGAAGATGGCGGGAAACCGGCAGGAACTAGCTGGGAACGTTCCTGCGTTTCACTGTTCCAGCCGCGGGCTGCCGGCCGGCTGCGACGTCGCGCGTCTAAAATTTTCTGCGCGGTTGAGAAGACTCGGCAGTGTCAACGGTTTGTCCGTTCCCTTGTTCTTGTCTTTGGGTTGAACTGTCAAACGTGGTGTGGTTTGGAACTTTGGACGCCAAAAAGTACAGTTTGAGTTTCTGAAGAGAGGTTCAGAACTTCAGATAATGCACTTTTTTTCAGAAAACAGAAATATTTATTTATCCGGCTGTTCTTGAGTTCGTTTCGCAAGTGTCAGGTCAGTGTCTTTGCTTGCAATAACACATTTACATTATTTTAGACAGTTACTATTAGGCATTTACATTTAGATCCGATAAACAAATAACTTTAGCTTGTTGTCGTTGTCCTTCAGTCCAAATTTTACTGTCAAAGTAGTACTGGATTCATCAGAATCAGAACAATTACCAAGTCATTTTACTGCCATTACTAGTTTAACTTATTCGAGGCACCAGACACCAGCTGACAAAGTTGGTGTTTGCGCATAAACAGTCAAAATAGACTGTGTATCGGTTCTGAAATCTGAAGCAGTGCAGTGCAGGAGACGGGAAGCTTCAATGTGCTAGTGCAACGAGCGGTGCACACTTGACAAGCCCACAATGACCTTGACCTGACGAGACAATGCATGCACAGCTTGTTCGGTTGGCTGGTTCGTATCGTGAAGAAGTACTGTTGGTGGTTTACGTGAGAGAAAAATATTGTTCTGACTGAAAATTTATGATCGTTTACGACAAGCCACAGCCAAACGAACAGGCTGCGTAGCGATGGGTGTGGACGCTCGAATAGTAGGTTAAATTAATTTCTGTGCCCAAGGCTGTGTTTAGTTCG